TCTTGAATTTGCCTCCTTACGGGTATGTCCCACTTACAGTGGAAAGGTGGGGTAAAAATGAAGTTTCTTCACTTGAAGGCAATCCTCTTTGTAGATCAGGTCTTCTGTCCTTTATATAAACAGCTTCACTTTCTGTTGGTTGTCTCTGACACCTTCTGTGAAGGAAGCCACCTTTGGAGGGTTTTAAAAGGAACTCCCCTGAAGTCTTTTGGCATGAATGGTCCAGGTGATGAGGCTTAACTACTTGTCACCCAAGCCGTCGTCTCTTGCTGTTGAGGTTGCCTTGTCTAGCATGCATCCATTTTAGGATTACTGGCAAGATAGCTAAACTGAGTCCACTTCACCCATGGCAATTTAACTTACCCTTGCTACAGGGGCTGAGGCAGCACACCACCTAATCAAACACCTTCTGCAGCAAAACATAGGAATAGCCACGCATTTAGTGAATCGATAAATGCCCTCATGTCAGTTCAGGTCAAGTTTTTTCTTTATGGGAACTGAATCCCAACCTCCGTCGACGCTGCACCCATTCCTTGGGAATTTTGTGAACTGTTCAATCCAGTGATACAGATCTGCTGCTGGAGGCATATGCACTTAACCCAGACTGGCCAGAGTATCCCATACCATGGACCCAGTGCTTGGTCCAGAGTATGCACATAGCATAAACTGGAGCAAATCCTATTTTTCCTCTCTGACATGGAGGCTAAGAGAAAGAAGATCACCTTCCTTTTGAGATTAAAAGCTCTAAGGACCTTTTAAGTCTAGTATAAGATGACATTTTTTTCACCAAGAAAGAATCTGCCAGAGTATGAAACAACTGAAAGCAGAGCAGTTAATCTCTGATGAGTCTGAGTACCTGCTTGAAGCTGTACCAAATAAACATTACACCTTTCAGTTACAGGTACTACTAATAAATACTTTCTCCTAAGCTGATTGGAATTAGGTTTTCATCAACCTTTTTTTTAGATTTTTTATGTATTTGAGAGAAAGAGCCTGAGCTGAGCAGGGGGGAGGGGCAGAAGGAGAAGCTGACTCCCAACTAAGTGGGGAGCCTGATGCAGGGCTTGATCCCAGGACTGAGATCATGACCTGAGCCAAAGTCAGACCCTTAACCCACTGAGCCACCCAGGCACCCCCTCGGTCAGAATCTTTATGGCAGTTGCTGTTTCTCCATTTATCAACTATAGACTCTTTAGTAATCTTTCTTAGGAAAGATAAGAATTTAACTCATCCCGCTAAGTAAATTATAAATTCAGTCTCCTGTTTATTAGCTAACCTTTATTTCTTATTCTATAATTTATACAGATCTCTTGAATCCCCTCTATCAGAATATTGCCCCTTATCCTTGCATTCATTCATTCTCTCATTATTGCTATCAACCTCCCACCATCCAATCTATCAGCTACATTTTGCCTTTTACATTATTAAATAGGCAATATATAGGCCTATATATACAGAGACAGTGACTTGTATATATGTGACATATATAAGTGACTTGTCTATATATTATAAAATTGGAAATAAAATAGCACTTGATCATTATCATTAGGTAAATATTCTCTGAAGAGTTGGAGCCAAGCAATATGTGATTACATTTCTTTCTCTATAGGTCCAATGTTAGGATCCCAGTCTGTGCTTAAAGGATTATCTTCCTAATATCAGTCAAATGCAGTTTATCTTTTTTATATTCTATGAATCATACCACATTTCATCAGGGCTTGTTTTATATTCAGACCTGATAACTGGTATGGTTTCCCCTTTGTTTTTCCCAAAGCCAATAATTGCCTTTCTTTCCATTTTCCTAAGGAAAACTCGTCTTTACCGTAGTGCTAAAATCCTCCGATTTCATACTTATTAACGTAACCTATTCCAGTCTTCCTGAAGACTTTCTTCACTGAGTCCCTGAATTCTTAGCCTACCAGTAATTTGGTCTGATTGTTGTAGAGCAATCTACAATGCTAGTCATCCTCAACACCACTTTCTCAGGTTAGATCCATTGTTTATTGAAGCCTTTCCTGCTGCCACCTTCCTTTTCCATCCAGATTTCACTAAAGTTGATCCTTTAATACCCTAATAAAGGGTAAATGAAAGTAAACTGAAGCAAACTGCATATACAGAATATCAGTGTTTGGCCTCATGCTTTATTGTTGTTTATGTATAGACTTTTAGATTCAAAGTAATTTTAGCTCATAACTTGGAAGGTGCTGTTCTGTTTTGTTATCTAATATTACTAATAGGAGGGAAGGCTAACACTATCTTGAATGTTCTTTTTAGGAAGTATTCACATTTTTTGAAAGCTTTTTAGGATGGTTTCACTTTCAATATTCTGAAATTTCACAAGCATATTTCTGGATGTCTTTTTTTCTGTTGTAATTGTGGTTTTTGCCAGTTCAGCCTGCCCAGCACTCAGTGAGCTATTCCAAGCTGAATATTCATAACTTTCTTGAGTTTAGAAAGATTCTCATTTATTTGATATATCCCTTATATTTTCTTTGTAAACTTCTCTGAAACTCCTATTAATTAAACTTCTATGTCCTTTTTGTTTCTTATTTTCTTTTAATTTATGAATTTGGAAAGTTTTCTTAATTTTCTTTAAAACTTCTATTAAAGGGGGCGCTTGGGTGGCTCAGTTGGTTGGGCGTCTGCCTTTGGCTTGGGTCGTGATCCTGGGATCCTGGGATTGAGCCCCGCATCGGGCTCCTTGCTTGGCGGGGAGCCTGCTTCTCCCTCTGCCTCTGGCTCTGCCTGCTTGTGCTCTCTCACTCTGTCTCTCTCTGTCAAATGAATAAATAATCTTTTTTTTTTTAAAGATTTTATTTATTTATTTATTTGAGAGAGAGAGAAAGAAACAGCATGAGAGGGGATAGGGTCAGAAGGAGAAGCAGGCTCCCCGCTGAGCCGGGAGCCCAATGTGGGACTTGATCCCAGGACTCCGGGATCATGACCTGAGCCGAAGGCAGTCGCTTAACCAACTGAGCCACCCAGGCGCCCCTGAATAAATAAAATCTTAAAAAAACAAAAAAACTTCTATTAAGGGGCACCTGGTGGCTCAGTCATTAAGCATCCGCCTTTGGCTCAGGTTATGATCCCAGAGTCCTGGGATCCAGCCCCGCATTGGGCTCCCTGCTCAGCGGGAGGCCTGCTTCTCCCTCTCCCTCTGCTGCTCCCCCTCTTTTGCTGTCTCTCTCTCTGTCAAATAAATAAATAAAATCTTTTAAAAAAGATAAAACTTTGATAGTTACATATCAGGTGCCAAAGGCTATATTAATTTTTTCTAGAAAACATTTTCTGTACATATTTTTCTTTAAAAATGATTTTTAAACATTTTAATTTCAGTATAGTTAACAGTGTTTAAATATTAGTTTCAGGTGTACAATACTATCTAATTTTTTTTTTTTTTAAAGATTTTATTTCTTTGGGAGAGCATGAGCGGGGGAGGGGCAGAGAGAGAAGCAGACTCCCTGCTGAGCAGGGAGCCTAACCTGGGGCTTGATCTCAGAAGGATCATGACCTGAGCCGAAGGCAGACGTTTATCCGGCTGAACCATCCAGGTGCCCCTCTGTTTCTTTTTTGATAGCTTTCCATATTAACCTGTTCAAATCTGACATAAATTTTTAGTTTTTTTCTGTCATTATGTAACTTTCTCCACTTTTAGTGCTGTCTCTTGGTCCTTATTATAATAGCTGATCATTTTCTTCATATGTTACGGTCCTTAACTGTTCCAACATTTAAGAATGATATGGCTTGGGGCATCTGTCTGGATCAGTCAATAGAGCTCAGTCAGTAGAGTATGTGACTCTTGATCCTGGTGTTGTTTGAGCCCCACATTGGGTGTAGAAATTACTTTAAAAAAATGGGGGCGCCTGGGTGGCTCAGTCGTTAAGCGTCTGCCTTCGGCTCAGGTCATGATCCCAGGGTCCTGGGATCGATCCCCACATCGGGCTCCCTGTTCAGCGGGAAGCCTGCTTCTCCCTCTCCCACTCCCCCTGCTTGTGTACCCTCTCTCGCTGTGTCTCTGTCAAATAAATAAAATCTTTAAAAAAAAGAAAAAATGATATGGCTTGATTGCCCCAGGTAGCTGTAGATCAGTTTCCCTGAATAGGAAGGGTTACTGAGATCTTTGTATGCATGGGAAGGACTAGCAAGTCAAAGAGAGATTCTCCAAATTGCTGAAAAGGTTTTGACTTAGCCACCAACTCTCATGCTAGCTACCCAAGTTTCCATAAGTTAATTTTTTCATAGTTTAAATTTCTTTATATTATTACATTATTGCCTAGAACTTCAAATACTACAGATAACACTAGGTCTCCTCTTAACCAGAATATCCAATCCCAGTCTCCTCCCTAGAAGGAACACTTATCAGTTGGCATGTGTCTCTCCAGAACCTTTTTGAAACATTTGCATACTTATTTAAATGTATTAGAAACATGTTAAAAACATAATTCTGTGCAAGTCTACAAAATTTGCTGTTTCAATGTCCTTTAGTCAAATACATCGATGTCCGTATCACTGGTGCATTCTTTCAAACTGCTGCTAATATTTCTAGTCATGCCCCATGGAACTTTAGGTTGTTTCCAATGTTTCATGTACTAACCATACTGCCCTCCAAAGGGACTATAGTGAACATTTTAAAAACTTCACTGCCTCCAAAGTGGCAGTGAGGCCGCCGTTCTTATTGCTCCATGCCCCTGCCACTTTTTGGGAGTACATTATTTAAATTTGCATCTCAATACTAGTGAGGTTGAGCCGCGACTATTTTCTGTATTTCTGCGATTTGCCTATTCTCATATTTTGTCCATTTTTATACCTCCTTAGTTGTCTTTTGCTTATTTATAGGTGTTCTTACATCTTTCCCTTTGTATTATATGACAAATATTTTCTTCCTTTCTGTTTTTCTAAATTTTAAGAACATTTTCTTTTTTAGAAATGTATGTCCAACACCAATTAATAAATATATCCTACTATGTGTGCTTATAATATTTTACTTGTTTTACATTTAGGATCTTAATCAACTGGAACTCCCTTTTTGTGGATGGTGTGAAGTAAGGATCCTATTCAATTTACTTATAGAGTGTGGAGTGAGGAAGCTGTTGGCTTCCACAAAGAAAAGCATTTAACAGTCTTGTCACTGTTTCTTATTACCATCCCTCCCACCCCCAGCCTCTACACACAAACCAGCTTGAAGCCTAAACTCCTCTAGGGATGCTCTGTACACAGCATTTGGGCAGAGTGGCTCCTATTACTGAAATCCCTATCATTCAAACATTTCAGGTCACAGCAGCCTCTGCTACATTTCATGAATGAACACTTTCCTCCATTTTGTCTTTTATTTGCTCAATTCTTTTCATCCACTGATGACCCTGCTTTCTGATCTTTGTTTGGTATCTTTTTCATTGTTTTATGCATTTAATGGGATATGGAAGGAAGGTATATTTATATACTGTTTGTTAACTGTGAAAGAAAATCTTGGTTTTTCCAATGAAAATTCTGATAAGTTGCCTTTCCAAAAATTTGTACAAATTCATACTCTCACACATACTCCTTTCCTGCTTTTGCAATGCATATTTTTTATAAATCTGATATTGACGGATGGATAGTTCATTGGCTTAACTTGTATTTCTTGATTCTAGTGAGATTCAGTATTTATCATACATTCATCAGTCACCTGTTGCCTCTTTATATCCTTTGCCTTTGGGAATAGTAGTGTCATTTTCTAAGTGATCTGTAGGACCACTTTTATATTAAGGATATGGATTTCATGTATGTTGTAATAATTATCTCTAATTGTGATATTTAAAAACTTTGTGTTTATACTGTCTTTGACTATATAAAAGCTTAATAAAGTTCTTATGCCGTCAAACCTAGAATCTGTGTATGTGTGGCTTCTGGATCTCATGCCCTGTTTAGGAAGATTGTTTTCACTCTTTGATTATAAATTGTTACTATGTCCTCTAATAACTCTTTCACATTTGGATAAAAGAATGAAGGAATTGGTTTTGTACAGAGCAGAATCAATTTTACCAATACCGTTAAGCCACTGACAAATTCCTTTATTTATATATTTTATGTGTTTATCTGTATGAATGTACATGTGTCTGTGTTCACATGCACACAGTGTTTCAAGCCTTAAAAAATTCTTAGGATTTTGTTAGGTACAAAGAATCTGTAGATTAATTTTGGGCCTCCTAACATCTTGAGAATAGTCTTCCCCTGCAGGATAAAATGTCTATTCAAATCTTCCTTTTCGCCCTCCATTTCATCATTTTCTTTGTACCTATATTCATATGTGAATTGGTTACTGAAGTGATTGCATATTCAAAGCCTCCAAGAGTTAGGAAGTAATATAAAGTGTAAAATAAGTCAGATGTAAGGGAAGGAGGAATGGTTTGAACTGTGGAGAACTGGAAAACACATGCCCAAATAAAAGTATTTGTATTTTTTTTTTTTTGTATTCATTTTAAACTTGATGAGTACAAATCAAACACGGTTGTGGGCCACCAGTTCAGGAGTATTGATCTATGGTTTTCTCTTTCCCTCTAGTTTTGGAATTACACCTTAGAACTAGCTTGACCTTTCTGGTTTTAAACAACATAGATTTAATACAGTTCAACCACCTGGAATTAGGAGAGGGCATCAAACTTTTATTTTCTATTCTTTGGTTATTGATTTTTTTAAGTTGTCTTTTTAAAAATATCTATTTTGCCTTTGTCTTAATGTAAATGATGACTACATCTCAGTAAATCCTACTTATTATTAGTGATTTTTAAAATCTGGCTTCTTAGAACTGTGGAATATTTAATGAAGTTAGTTTTTCTTACCAACAAAGTCATATCTTACTCTATATCATTATGGACTTTAATATCAATGCTACTGTTTTTAGATACCCTTATCACCCACCTTTAGAACAATGACTACTGTTCCTAATCAAAAATCTTTATTATCTCTTAAGTCTTAAACTGCTGCTTCTTTTGTTATTTCTCAGATGATCCTTGCTAAGATGATCAGGTCCTCTTTGTATACCATAGTATCTTTTCATTTTATGGAACATTTATTAAGTGATTATGCTAGGCACTCTGAGCAATTTACATGCATTCTCTCATTTAATCCTCCCATCAACTTTTGAGGTAGTACTATTATTATTTCCATAATATAAATAAGAAGACTGAACCTTACAAAGAACAAAATGTTTCTCTCAAACTAGAGGGCTAGAAAATGGAAGTGCAAGGATTAGAAACCCAGATCTGTTTGATGCTGGAATATGAGTTCTTAATTCTGGATAAATAGCCAAAGAATGAGATGGATTTTGACATGAAATAGTACTTTGGAAGGTATACTGGAACAAGGTATTTGGGGCAGGAGGGTCTTTTAGGTTATTCTGAGGAATGTGTGCTTTAACCTAAGAACTATGGGGTACCAGTGAAGGGTATCAATGAGGAAGGGATATGATCAAACTTCTAAAATACAAGTTTGACTGCAATGTAGGCAACTGACAAAGGAAATGGTAAATACAGGGAGACCAATCAGAAAGCTATTTCCATAGTCCATATGAAATAGATTACTGTGTACTGCACAAAGATGATGGAACGGAAATGGATTAAAGGAGTCAGATTCAAGGCATATTTAGGAGATAAAACCAACAGGTCTTGGCAACTGACTGGACATGGGGGATGAGCGAGAGGAAGGAGTCAAGAATGACTCCATAGTATGAATTCTCTCATGCTGGGCAAGATGGGCACGCTGCCTGAAAGATTTCCTGCAATCCTTACATTCATAGGGTCTCTCTCCTGTATGAATTCTTTGATGTAGAGTAAGAGATCCACTATAGCTAAAGGCCTTCCCACAAATATTACATTCATAAGGTTTCTCTCCAGTATGAATTCGCTTATGTTGAGCAAGGCCTGCATTCTGGCTAAATGTTTTCCTACATTCCTTGCACATATAAGGTTTTTCTCCAGTATGACTTCTCTGATGTTGTGCAAGTGATGAACTATTGCTAAAGGCCTTCCCACATTCAATACACTCATAGGGTTTTTCTCCAGTATGAACCCTCTGATGTTGATCAAGGTATGCAATCTGGCTGAAGGCTTTCCTGCATACTTTACATTCATAAGGTTTTTCTCCAGTATGAACTCTCTGATGTTGAGAAAGGTGTGCATATTGGCTGAAAGCTTTCCTACATTCCTTACATTCATATGGTCTCTCTCCAGTATGAATTCTCTGATGTACAATTAGGTATCCACGATGGCTAAAGGCTTTCCCACACACATTACATACATAAGGTTTTTCTCCTGTATGAATTCTCTGATGCTGAGCGAGAAATGAACCATTACTGAAGGCTTTTCCACATTCAATACATTCAAAAGGTCTCTCTCCAGTATGAACTCTCTGATGTTGAGCAAGGTGTGCAATCTGGCTGAAGGCTTTTTTACATTCTTTACATTGATAAGGTCTCTCTCCAGTATGAACTCTCTGATGTTGAGCAAGGTGTGCATTCTGGCTGAAGGCTTTCCTACATTCTTTACATTCATAGGGTTTCTCTCCAGTATGTATTCTCTTATGTTGAGCTAGGTTTGCACTCTGGCTGAAGGTTTTCCCACATTCAACACATGCATAGGGTTTCTCTCCAGTATGAATTCTCTGATGAAGAGTAAGGGATGAGCTCTGGTTGAAAACTTTCTCACATTCATTACATTTCAAGAGTTTCTTTTGTATATAGACTTTCTTATGTTTCATTTCGACAGACTTTTTTCGGTAACTTCTCTTTTGTGGCTCATGCTTATGTACTCTTTCTTTGGTGGGAAAAGTCTTTTTTATATCAAATATTGCATCCTGATGGAAAGTTTGCCAAGATTTAGTATATTCATTACTTTGATCCTCAGTGAGCATTTCTTTATGAGTGATGATCAGTTGTCTGGAATGTACCTCCTGACTTCCTAACTGGTTCTTGAGCCAGTCCTCACTTTTATAGTCTTCTCTCAAGCTGGGGCAGTCAAGGCTATAACTAAGATGGCTTCTTCCCATTTTCACTAGTTCGGATGTTTCTTCATAAATAACTTGCTTTGATGAAAATCCATTGTTTTTAAATGTATACTCCCAATCTAAAAGATACCAAGAAAACAAAGGTCTTTTGTATTTGTTCATCAGAAGAGAACTTCTAAAACAAAAATTGGTGAATAAAATACATAAGTTTGGGGATTTAACAGCTGTTAAGATGCAGTCTAAAAAGTATGAGATTATAAGAATGAAAAACCAAGAATTAGGAAAAAAATTAGAAACTGAAGAAGTTATATAAAATCACAATAATTTTATATATGATTTAATATTACAGTCTCCAAACACCCTTCCCTTCTTCTCTTGCCTCAGGTCATTCTGCATTCAAGCTAAGTTCATTATCTTTCAAAAGTCAATTTCATGAGGTCAGTGTGGCTAAATAAACTTCCGTAAGATCCTCATACCCAAAGATACACCAGGTACTATTAGTTGCCTTAGGTTGTCCAGGCCAACTGTGGCTAAACTTTTGTAGCCTAAAAAAATGTCTTTTTGGGGCACATGGCTGGCTCAGTCAGTAGAGCATGTGACTTTATCTCAGGAGTTCAAGCTCCACATTGGGTGTGTGGCCTACTTTAAAAAAAAAGTCGTCAGGCATTTTCTATGTGATATATTCCGACCAAATGTAAATTTTTAAAAAAGATTTTATATGAAAGAGAGCGAGTGAGCATGAGTGGGGGGAGGGGCAGAGGGAGAGGGAGAAGCAGACTCCCCGCTGAGTGGGGACCTCAATGCGGGACTCAATCCCAGGACCCTGCTATCGTGACCTGAGCCAAAGGCCTATGCTCAGCTGACTGAGCCACCCAGGCGCCTCAGGAACCTACAAAGAGCTACTAGAACTATTAAATAAATCTATCAAGATTATAAGATATAAAGTTAATATAAAAATCAATTTACATTTTTGCATACTAACAACAAATGGAAAATGGAATTCTTAAGAATTCTATTTATAATAGCACCAAAAAATACCATAAGATTAAAAATATACATATATATATATGTATATATTCACTGCCCTGGATACTATAGAATACTGCTAAGAGAATTTAAAAAGACTAATAAATGGCTACATAAGCCACATTCATGAACTAAACTCAAGTGATATTAATTTGGATATCAGTTCTTCCCAAATTGATGTATAGATTCCATATAATCCAAATCAAAATCCTAGCAGGCTTTGGGTAGAAATTCTCAACTTCATTCTAACATTTATTTGGGAATGCAAATAATCTAAATAGTTAAAGTGATTTTATAAGTTGAACTATCAGATATCAAAAGTTACTATAGGGCACCTGGGTGGCTCAGTCGGTTAAGCATCTGCCTTTGGCTGGGGTCGTGATCCCAGGGTCCTGGGATCGAGTCCCGCATCGGGCTCCCTGTTCAGCGGGAAGTCTGCTTCTTCCTCTCACACTCTCCCTGCTTGTGTTCCCTCTCTCCCTGTCTCTGTCAAATAAATGAATAAAATCTTAAAAAAAAAAAAAGTATAAATTACAGTAATCAAGACTGTGGTACTGATCAAAGGATAGGCATACAGATTGATGGGACAGAATAGAGTTCAGAACTAGACCCATGTAGATATGGTCAACTGCTTTTGGTACAGAGGTACCAACAAGGCAGTATAATGGGTAAAGGAATGTCTTTTTAAGAAAAGATACTGGAGCAACTGTATATATATCCAAATGAGGAAAAAAAAAAACCCAAAACCTCAATCTTTACTTCACACAAGACACAAAATTTAGCTCAGTGGGTCATATACCAAAATGTAAAGCTAAAACTACAAAATTCTTAGGAGAAAACACAG